ACGTACGAGCAGCAGCGTCAGCAGCTGCAGCAAGGGTACGAGCAGCAGCAGCAAGGGTACGAGCAGCAGCAGCAGCAGCAGCAGCAAGGGTACGAGCAGCAGCAGCAGCAGCAAGGGTACGAGCAGCAGCAGCAGCAGCAGCAGCAAGGGTACGAGCAGCAGCAGCAGCAGCAAGGGTACGAGCAGCAGCAGCAGCAGCAGCAGCAGCAAGGGTACGAGCAGCAGCAGCAGCAGCAAGGGTACGAGCAGCAGCAGCAGCAGCAGCAGCAGCAAGGGTAGCAGCAGCGCAGCAGCAAGGGAGCAGCAGCAGCAGCAAGGGTACGAGCAGCAGGGCCCATCAGAGCCGTACCAGCAGCAGCAGGTCTACCGGCAGCAGCAGGCGCAGCAGCCACAGGAGCAGTTTCAGATTGAGCAGCAACAGCAGCAGCAGCAGCAGCAGCAGGTAGATCATCCGTATTTTCTCGACTTTATGCACCAGCAGCAGCAGCCGCACGATCAGCAGCAATTGCAGCCGCCAGAGGAGCTGCAGCAGGTGGGGCAGCATGCAGAGGAAAACGATTTTCAGACGCAGCTACACCCGTTCTACACCCAGCAGCAGCAGCAGCAGCACGAGGAGGCAGCAGAGGAGGAGGATGTGGGGAGGAGGAGGAGGAGGAGGAGGATGAAGAGGAGGAAGAGGAGGAGGCTGAGGGAGAGTATCCGGAAGAGGGAGAGCAGCACGAGTTGCAGGGGGGCTTATCGCTTGTCGGCTCCGCAGTGGCAGGTTTGGAACTCGTAGGCTCGGCAGTGGCAGACCTAGCAACGGACGGAGCAGTCCCGTTTGTTCTGGAAGAGGTTGAGGTGGCTCGACTGGAAGGGGAGGCGGAGGAGGGGGAGGAGGAGGGGGAGGGGGAGGGGGAGGGGAGGGGGAGGGGGAGGGGAGGGAGAGGGGAGAGGGAGAGGATTGAGATTGAGGGTGCGATTGAAGAACCAGGGGAGCATGGCGCGGAAACAGGTGTGAAAGGGAGCAGAAAGAGGAGGTTGGAGGACTTGGACTGGGGGGAAGAAGAAGAGGAAGAGGAGGAGGGAGACGAGGAGGAAACGCAGGAGAAGGGGAAGAGGAGGGGGATGGAGAGGAGTGCAAGGAGGGAGACAGGAAGGCGAGCAGGAAGGGAGCCGGAAGGAGAGCAGAAGGATTGCAGGACGGGCAGGAGAAGGAGGGGATGGAGTGAGTGAGGAGCGTCACTCGTCCGCCCATCTTTCCCACAACTCCTCCCCGCTCCTTTGCTCCGAAGCGGACTTCCAGCAGCTCTTATCCTGCATCGAGGCTGCTTCTAACGAGGACCATGGGCCATGGCTCTCCAGCTCCTCCTAGAGGAACAGCGTGCCGCCAAGGAACCTCCTTCTTCCTAAGACGGCTCGGTTGATGCGAGTAGGTATCTCCTGCACTACCACTCCCTTGTCCGCTCCTCACTTTCATCATCCCACCGAGACGTTGCAGACAATGATGCGATCTGCCGCAGGAGATCCACGGCTGAGGCGCGTCTGCCAGCCGGCATGACAGCTGGCGCGACGCTGGTCGCAGCACCAGATGGACCACCGCCGCGGAATCGAGGAGCGCCCACGGCCCCGCCCCTGGGTGGGAGGAGTGTATTGACCCCGAATTACCCTCCGGAGTCGTTTCAGAAGGCGTTCCGAATGAGCCGGGAGACGTTTATGGAGCTCTGTGACATGCTGGCACCGCTGATTGTGAAAACCGCCATCCAATTCAAGGCAGCCACCATTTCAGGGGACGTCAGGCTCGGAGCAACGCTCTGGCGCCTGGCCACAGCGGAGCCTATGTATATGATCTCCAAGCGGTTTGTGCTTAGCAAGTCCACTGTGCATGTCACTCCGAATGACGTGCTCAGAGCACTGAACGAAGTTGTTCTGCCAAGGTGGTCGTCTGGCCCGAGCCAGGCAGCTCTCGGCAGCTGAAATTTCGGCCCATTTTCTGGAGCTGTGCGGGGTGGATCACGCCTCTTGGGCGGCCCAGCAGCTGGGGAACGGGCAGCTGATAGGAACGCTCTACACCACGCACCTCCCCATCAAAACGCCGCCCTCCAACCTCGGAAAGTTCCTCAATAAGCAGCACACAGAGCGATTCGTCCAGCCATCCTACTCCATTGCAATGCAAGCAGCCATCGACGCCAACGGGCAGTTTATAAACCTTTGCATCGGGCTGCCCGGAGCCCTTTCTGATGAGGAGGTATTGCAGCAGTCGAGTCTCTTCCAGAAGGGGCAGGCGGGGGAGTTGAAGGGAGCCAAGCTGATTGGCTCGCGGTCTTACCCTCTCCAGGATTGGCTGCTGGTCCCGTACGACGAATCGGACAGCGCCACATGGCACCAGACGTCGTTCAATGAGTGCCTGGAGAAGGGGATCGCAGTGGGGAAGGACGCCATTGGCCGGCTGAAAGGCCGGTGGAGGATCCTGCTGAGGCGGGCCGAGGGGAAATTGCACGAGCTGCCCCGCTTGGTGGGGGCGTGCTGCGCGCTGCACAATTTTCTGGAGCAGAAGGGCGAGGCGTTGACCCTGACTGGGCGCACGAAGCCTTTGATGACTTCATCCCTGCGAAGAGGGCGGATGAAGAGTCGCCGGTTGCTGTGGCGGAGAGGGATGCGCTGGCCCAGGGGATGTGTCAGGCAGTGCACGGGTGAGAGGGCGATGCTGCCATGCTCTCTGAGGGGTTTGACGAGGGCCAGGTGCACGGGTGGGAGGGGTGCCTGCCTGCAACGAGGCGTTGGGGGAGGAAGGCAGCACGGAGGGAGGAGGAGGAGGAGGAGGAGGAGCCCTTGGCCGCTGCAGCGGAGAGGGGTGTGCTGGTCCACGGCCAGGAGATATTTCAGGCTGTGCATGGAAGGCAGGGGGAAGCTTCCTCCCCCGCTACATCTCCGGTTGGCTGCATGCAGTCTGCGCCTCCCCCAGATGCATCTGGGCGGCCCTCTGCATCGTCATCTCCGTGTGGCTCCGGTGGATCCCAGCCATTGATGCCGTCATCTCAGATCAAGTCTCAGCCGTCCATCCCATCCTCAGGTGGGTGGGTGGGTGGGTGCATGGCACTGTGAGCATCTGTGCACGAGCTGGCTTCCCTCTCTTCTCTGCGCTCCCTGTACCGAGCACCTGTAGACTGGGTGGAGCAGGTCACTGCTGGTGGGTGCACGATCGTGTTGGCCACCCTTGTCCTGCTCCCCTCCCTCCCCTCCCTCCCCTCCCTCCCTCCCTCCCCTCCCTCCCTCCCTCCCCTCCCTCCCCTCCCTCCCTCCCCCAGCCCTTCTTCCCCTCCATCAACCGCTACAAGTGCAAAAAGGGCATTATGCCATTTTGTGAGTACAAGAATTGGGTCAGTCACAACAGCCTTCTTTCACAATTGTCTTTCATGTCCCCCTCCCCCCCCCCTCCCCTCCCTTCTTCTTTACATCCATTTTGCTCCATTCGTCCTTTTGACTTGTCCCCCTGACTTATGCCCCCTGCTGCTGAAGCAGGTGGGTGTGATGTTCGGGTGCTGGAGAATGTGGAGTATTTGCAACAGCTGAAGCGGCTAGCACAAGAGGGAGGGGTGGCATCCGACGTCCTTTTCCTCGCGTCCTTTTCCTCACGTCCATCAGCGACACTCTCAAGGCCCAGCTACTGTCCCACTGCACGGCTGTGGTCTGCACTACACGTCTCTGGTGGTGAGTAGCTACTAGCTACCATGTGGTCGCACTAATTCCTTGAAAAGAAGCAGAACAAAAGGCCTGCATGATGCTCTGTATCCTTACATCCTCATTATCTCCTCGCCTCACATCTTTCGTGGGACTACAGGACATTTCCGCGGGACATCTTTCGTGGGACTACGGGACATTTTTCGTGGGACTAGGCTACCCTTCGCCATGGGACATTTTCCGTGGGACATTTGCCCCGGGCCATTGACTTTTCTGTCTCGTGCAGAAAGAGCATTTAGGCACCGAGCCGTTGGAGGCCATGGCAGCAAGCAAACCACTGGTGGCGTGCAACAGTGGAGGGCCAAGGCCCAGGGGCCAACGCAGAGCATACTCCATGGCAAGGCAGGGCGTTTGCTCGCCGTTGGCCCTCCAGTGGGGCCAACGGAGAGCATACTCGATGGCACGATGGGTTTCCTCTGCGCTCCAAGCCTGCAGCTTCCATGGGCGGGGTAGCTCAACAGCATGTGGAGAAGTTTTCTACAGAGGTGTTTTGGTGACCGCCTGCAAGGAATTTCTTTGGGTGATGTGTTTGTATAGTACCTTGCTTGCATTAATTTCACGTAACGAAAAACGTTTCACTCATGGCGATCCATGCTTGGATGAAGGCGTATGCTTCAGATTTCAAGTTGCATCAGCACTACCTTAGTAGTTCCACTGGGCATGCATCTTATTGGGCTGATAAATGCCCTTAGGATCTTTTCAGAGACTAAGTCCCAGTTGAAGAATGAGACTTGAGTAGTGCAACGGAAGTTGAGTAGTTGAACCCTCGTACTAGTATATGAGAACAAGTGATTGATTAGAGAAACAAGCATACAGCAATATATAGAAAATAAGAAAGCAGTTGTAGAATACAGTTGCAGGAGCGGTTATCGAGTCGCACAGCGACTCGATTGTCGCTTCGGTTACCATCCGCGCTGTTGTAACGGTCAGTCGCAACCTCCAGTTGCGACCCTTCGAGTCCCTTCGCGTTCTTTGTCCGCCCCCTCGTGTAACCTCCGTTGACTCGTGTACCCGTTATCAGAAATTCAAGTGATGGTGATAGAGAGAGAGTACACACAATATAGCTACGTGTTGTACCCTCTAAGAGGCTACCCTATACAGTCTATACAAACATAACAAATAGACATGTTTGACACACCCCCTAGACTGCATAGGGGAAAGTCCTAAACAAACAGCTCAGGGCGGCACTACTAGTCCAACCTCTGAGACAAGGGTCTGAGCGACCAGTCAGAAGGAGTACAGACAAGGCAAGCACAAGAGCAGGGCGGCACTACTAGTCCAGCCACTGGGAGAGGACACAAGTTCAGTCTGAGTATACATATAAAGGACAGTACAAAGTCAAGGTCCTAGCAAGTGAGAGGCTACAGGAACTAGACCAAGCTGGACACAGTGCCGCTGATGATCTTTAGGCGCAAGCGCCTTCGTAAAGATATCAGCCGTGTTGGCACCTGAGGCCAAGTGTACTACGCGAGCCTGACGTCGCTGCTGTAGCTCACGCAGGAGGAAGTACCGCAGCTGAATGTGCTTCGCTCTACCCTCGAGTCGAGGCTCCTGACACAGGAGGATCATGGCCCTGTTGTCAGCGAACAGGACCGGGGCAGAGCTAGGCCGCTCACCTAAGTCAGTGAGCAAGAAGGTCAGCCAGCGGAGCTCCTGTGCCGCCATGGCACCGGCGTAGATCTCAGCCTCACAGCTGGACTGTGCAACAGACGAGGAGCGAGTAGCTCTCCACGAGACGGCACCTGAGCCAAGGCTGAAGCAGTAGCCCTGGGTAGACCGGAGTGTCTCAGCGTCGTCTGCCCACGAAGCGTCTGTGTGCCCAGTAAGGACCACTGGCCTGCGTCCTCCTAGCACTAACCCCATGCCCGATGTACTAGCAAGATAACGCAGAACCCTCTTAGCGGCAGACCAGTGCTGCGGTCGGTGTCTGCCTGTGGCCACAAAGCGAGCCAGGATGCTGAGAGGGTATGCGAGATCTGGGCGAGTGCAAGTCATCAGGTACATGAGGCAACCCACCAGCTCTGCGTAGGGGCCGCTGGGCTCTACCAACTCCTCAGGCACTGGAGCGGAGAGCCTGTGGTCTACAGGCAGAGGGGTGGGCTGTGCAGAGGAGAACTGAAGGCTGAACCTCTGAAGGACCTGGCGCACCAAGTGTGACTGAGTCAGGGTGATGGTGCGCGCAGCTCTGTCCCTGGAGATCTGCAAGCCAAGGTAACGACGCAGTTCTCCAAGGTCAGTGCAGGTGTGTCTCTTCAGCAGCTCTGCCTTCACGGAGGCCAGCGCGTCCCTGTCTGCTGTGGCAAAGACCAGGTCGTCGACGTAAACGAGGATGTAGAACGGAGTCTGGCCAGCACGAACAAAGAGTGAAGGGTCTGCAGAAGACGGAAAGAACTGCAGGTCAGCAAGCGTAGCACGGAGAGTGTCGTGCCACTCACGGGGAGCCTGGCGCAGGCCGTAGACGGGGCGCCGCAGGAGCCACTGGGTCCCAGGAGGGAAGGTGCCAGTAAAGCCCGGAGGGCGGCGCAGGTAGACCTGCTCGTGTAGGCTGCCCTGAAGGAAGGCAGTGGAGAAGTCGAGGGAGTGAAGCTCGTAGTCACGCTGAGCAGCTAGGTGTAACAGAACCCGAAGAGTAGTCATCTTCGGGGGTCGGAGCGAAGGTCTGGAAGAAATCCACCCCCTCGCGCTGACTGAAGCCTCTAGCCACATAGCGCGCCTTGAAGACAGGCGGCTCTCCAGGAGGTCGCTTCACCTTGAAGAGCCAGCGGCCATCGACTACGTTCACCCCAGGCGGGGGAACTGCGTCGACGAAGGTGCCGGTGGATCTCCAAGATGCCATCTCCTGCTCCATGGCAGCTATCCACTGCGAGGCCCAGGGTCCCGAAGTCGCCTCAGCGTAAGTGCGAGGGGTCGGGATGTCGAAAGCGTCTAGGTCACCCTCAGGGACTAGCAGCATGGAACAGAGATGGGGAGCAGCCTCGGAGAGGAAAGCAAGCTCGAACTGGCGGTCCTCCAGGACGTCACTGCCAAGGGCAGAAGCACCTCCGACAGACGGAGGACAGGCAGGGTCAGAGACGAGAGCGGTGGCGTAGTCAAGGCGGCGGGTAGAGGCGAAGTCAGCGACAGCAGCGACAAGAGCGTCAAGGCACGAGACCGGAACAGACGGGTCGGTAACGAGAGAGGCAAGGACCCGAGGAACGAGAGGACGAGCGGCACGAAGGTAGTCGGACAGCGGGGGGGGCGCGACAACAAGGGAGGACGGAGGAGGCGACGGCAGAAGGGGAGGACGAGACGCGTGGGAACGAAGCAACATAGGGTGGGAGCGCAAGACAGGCGAAGCAGGACGAGCACGGGAGGGACGGTGAGACCAGACGTGGGACGGAGGAGTCGGGTCAGGAGACAGGGGAGGGGACACAGGAGGGGAACGAGGGGGAAGACGGGCCGGGGACGAGTCCGGCGGAGGGAAAACTGGGCCGTAGACAGGAAGAGGAGGAGACGGTCGGGGAGGAACCGACGCAGGGTCGGGGACGGAAGGCCGAGCAGGCGAAGGGCGGACACCGGCGGGGACAGCTGCTGCGGCGGCACAACGGCGACACCTGGACCGGAAGCGGCTCCTCGGCTACCACCGGAAAGCTCCACACCAGCACCCCCAGAGGGACCACCCCCAGAGTCGGCGAACGGGGCTGCGACGGCGGCGGCGGCGGCGGCGGAGGCGACGGCGGCGACGACGACGGCTGCAGCAGCAGTAGGGGCGGTGGAGGAGGGGACCGGGGAGGGGACACCTGGGGAGGGGCGGCTGGCGAGGACTGCACAGGAGGGCCACCAGAGGCAGAAGACTCCTCAACCGGGTCCACGGACGGAAGGGGGGTGACGTGGGACACACCAGAGGGGGCGGGACGGGGAGGAGGAGGAGGAGGGGCAGGGACTACCGGGGAAGGGGTGACCAGGAACAGGGGGGGGGTAACCGGGGGACCACGGTGGGGAAAGCGGCGGTAGTAGGAGGCGGACTCGTCAAAGGTGACGTCACGAGAGTGAAAGAAGCGGTGAGACGGCGGGTGGTAAAAGTGCCAGTCGGACGCGTCAAGGGGAAAACCGAGGAAGACGCAGGGAAGGGTGCGGGCAGTGAGCTTGTCCGTGCCGGAGGCACGGACGTGAGCAAGGCAGCCCCAGACGTGGAACGCAGACGCGTCACCAGGAGACCCAGTCCAAAGACGGGTCGGCGAAACCTGCGGCTGCTGAGTGTGCGGCCACAGGTTAAGCTGGTGAGAAGCGTAGCGCACAGCGAACGGCCACAGAAAATGGGGTGCACCGGCATGGATCATGGAGGTGCGAGCGACCTCCATGACCAAACCGATGCGTCGCTCAGCGACCCCATTCTGCTGTGGAGAGTCCGGTAGGGTGAACGTCTGGGTGATGCCCTCCGCACGACAAAAGCGACCAAGGACACCTGAGGCAAACTCGCCACCACGGTCTGAGTGAAGACGCAAGACAGGGAGACCGCGGTGGACACGCGCAGAGACAAGCCAGGGATGAGAGCGCCAGGCACGTCGGCCTTGCGCTCTAGGGAAAGACTGTGGTGTAACGAGTGAAGTCGTCGACAAGCACAAGGAATTAGCGCTCGCGACGCGGCCCAGGGACGGGGGCGGGGCCCCAGACGTCCAGGTGCAGGGTCTGCAGCGGCGCGGCGGTAGGGGGAAACGAGGAGGAGTGAGGGGCACGGCGAAGCCGACCCTCGACACAAGGCGTGCAAGGTGGGGCTGGAGAGGAGGGAAACGCGGGGAGCGAACCTGGGAGACCAAGGACGAGACCGTGCTGAGACATGTGACGCAGACGCGGGAGCGCAGGGTGACCTAGGCGGTGGTGCCACAGGAGGGTCGGGTGAGTGAGGGAGCGACAGGAGCAGGCAGCAGCAACCTGGGTAGACGTAGCCACCTGAGGGGGCGCTCCAGCCGGGGGGGGTCACGGTGTCCAGAGTGAACAGGCCGGACACCGGGTCCCGGGGGAACGTGGACAGGGGGGCACCAGTGGCGGCCTCGGTACAGACAGCATACCGCTCGTGACCAGGGAACGTAGTGGTGACGCCAAGGTCCTGGAGGCAGCCGACACCAACTAGGTTCCTGGAGAACGAGGGGATATGCAGACCTGTAAGAGAACCCAAAGGAACCGCCGGACAGGGAAGGGTGGTGGAACTGCGGCGACTACCGGACCGCCGGAGGGGTCAGCAAGAGAAACGGCAGCAGGAACAGGAAGCGGCGTCAGGGTGGTAGAGTCGCTGAAGAAACACCGAGAGGCGCCAGAGTCCAAGGTGAAGGAGAGCGAAGCCGAGAGGTCTGGCGACGGAACGGACGGCGGAAGCACCAAGACTACACAAAGCAGGGGATCCTACGCCTGACGCAGCAGGGGAGGCTAAGCTAGGCACACCTACACTAGGCAACAGTGAGTAATAAGCAGGAAGCACACTAGAGTCATCAGCATACATCACATGCAGAGCAGAAACAATGGCATCCATGTCCATATCAAAAATCTGAATCTGACGACTAAAGCAAATTGTGCCAGTCCGGGAGGTCTGGCCGACGGGCCGAAGCGCTGACGAAAGAGGTCGTCAGGCGACGAAAACAGCGAGGAGTGGAGTG